GAATGGATATGCATGCGTGATCTCGGGATCCTAGAGGTGCGTGGTATGTAACGTCAGTCACGAAGTCGAGGGACTTAGCGAAAGCCAGATCTAAAGTTGTTGGTATTTGGTGGTCCATATAACTAGTGGGGTAGTTCACCAACTGGTAAAAAGGCACTTGGAGCCAGCTCAAGAAAGTCTGCACCGAATGTTCTGACGACGAATTGCAAGATAGATTGGCCCAAAAGATTTCCGGAAGGTTGAAAGCCCCAAGAACTATACATCTTTTCGCGGAATGAGTGCGAATAAAGTCAATTATCCCCTGGAGAAACATCCAGGACTCCTGTATATCACTGCAACTGTAAATTGGGTAGAGGAATTGCACATCCCTGTCTAGGCCTGGGCAACCTGACAGTATCCTGCCCACGCAATACCATGAATATTATCTCAAACAAATTGCTGATGCTCTGGCCATCGCAGAGGATAATCAACGGTGCCCTATCTGCTGCACCGAGCAGGGTGGATAGGGGTTTGGATGCTACTGCTCAAGCCTTCCCGTTTTCTTATTCCCCCTCTTACGCTTTTTCACTCCTACCGTCCCCTTCCAACTTCACTTATATCCCCCCAGTTTTCAACCCCCGATTCTTGGCCCTCCCCCAACATGCTTTGCTAGGAATTTATCTTCTAATTTCAACTCACATGTGAACGCGGAGCGTCACTCCTCTCCTGTCGACAAGCCCATGTCCAACCAAGCGGTCCATACCAGTTCATCAGCTTCCATTTGGAGCCCCCGATCCTCCTTCAGATTGGCATGCCTTAATGTACGCATACTGCTACAGATCGGTCAACAGGCAGCACTTGCCCGAACATTAGAGACCTTTTCGATCGATATCTGCTGCCTATCAGAGACCCGCCTGCACGACTCGAGCTCTGTGCTCACTCTGCGACCCCCTTCAGGTGACGCAAGCACTATTTTCTCAGTGCGCCTATCCGGTGACGATGCAGCTCCGAGCACCGGCCAAGCTGGTGTTGGCATTGCCCTGAGTCCCCGGGCTGAAGCTGCTCTGGTTGATTGGATTCCAATCAGTAGCCGGATGTGTGCGGTCCGATTGGCTGGCTCGTTTAAAGCTTCGAAGTCGCGCGGGACTAATAGATGTCTATTCATCATCGCTGCCTACGCGCCCACAAACTGTAGCGATGATTCGGTAAAGAACGACTTCTACCGTCAACTGACTCAGCTCCTTCGCCACAGAAGAAGCACGGACACTGTTGTGCTGGAGGGGGATATGAACGCACAAATTGGAAAGTTGTCCACTGATGAAATGCATCTGGGCGGTCAGCACGGTGTAGGCTCCCGTAATGATAACGGTGAGCGGTTACTTCATTTGTGTGAAGATGCTCGCTTATTTCTTGCGAGCACTGATTTCCGACACAGCACCCGCCGGAGGGTGACTTGGCGCCCACCAGCCTCGAACCAGCCTCGGACGCAGATCGATCACATTGCTATTAGTTACCGCTGGAGAGGCTGCATCCAGAATTGTCGCTCGGTTTGGAGCACATGTGTGGACACCGATCATGCACTTGTATGCGCTGACATGCGGATGCGCTTGGGCGGACGCCCACGACGACGCTGTGAGCGCATTGACACCAGCCAACTGACAAAGTCAGCTGTTCCGAATGCGTATCAAAGTACGCTGGCATGCGAGTTGGGTAAGCGCTCACTGGAGACAATTGGTCACCGGTCACATGTTTGCCAGACCTTACTAGCAGCGGGCAAATCCTCATGTGGTATGTCTAAAAGTCAACATGAATATTGGGTCTCTTCGCAGTCTCTGGAACTTGTCGACGCTCGCCGGCACATCCAGGCTGGAAACGAGCACAATGAAACTAGCAAAGAGCTCCGCGTAAAACTCCGTGCTAGCCTGAAGAGAGACCGCGAATCTTGGTGATCTCATCGTGCGTCAGAGATGGAAGTGGCCGCTTCCCATGGTAACCATCGTAAGTTATTCCGTCTGATACGGGAAACGGGCAGCAGGAGGCTTGGTATTAGTGAAACAATTTGTGATGAGATTGGACAGCCTATTCACAATTTGTCAAAACATTTGGAGCTTTGGGCTGAGCATTTTGAAAAGCAATTTAATCGGCTAGAATGGTTCGATTCTTCGCCTCCCAGTGATCGCCCTGCTCCGTGGGCTGTCCCTTTGGATCCACCCTCTCGCTCAGAAGTCGAACGTGAGATCGGACTGTTGAAGTTGAACAAAGCCGCAGGACCAGATGATCTTCATCCAGCCCTCCTCAAATTCGGAGGCTCTGCTCTTGTTGATGCTTTACATGAATTACTAGTGAAACTGTTGGAGCAGAAAACTGTCCCAACCGACTGGAGCCGCTCCGTTATTGTTCCCATCTTCAAAGGTGGCTCGCGCTCGGAATGCGGTAACCATAGAGGAATCAGTCTGATCTCCATCGCCTCCAAATTACTCGCGTCCATAATTCTCCACAGACTGACTGGCGCTCGTGAAGCCAGATTCGTGAGGAGCAAGCCGGGTTTCGTCGTGGTCGTGGCTGCATCGACCACATCTTCACCTTGCGTCAGTTGTTGGAGCACCGCCACACATATTGGCGGCCCACCCTAGTCGTGTTCCTCGACATCAAAGGTGCCTTCGATTCGGTTGATCGATGTGCCCTTTGGAATTGTCTACTCAGGAAAGTGTACCCGAGAAATATGTAACCATTATCCAAGCATTATATGCGCGTAGCTCGGGCAGAGTGAGGGCTCACGGCAAGCTGTCGCCACCCTTTAATATCTCCAGCGGTGTGAGACAAGGATGCCCGCCGTCACCTTTCCTCTTCAACTTCGCTATTGACGAAGTCATGGAGTTTGCATTTACAGGACATGACTTGGAAGGTGTGGAGCTACTCCCAGGAGAACGACTTCATGACTTGGAGTATGCAGACGACATTGCCCTCATCTGTGACAGCTCCCAGACGTGCCAAACTGCGCTGGACAGATTAGCACTGGCTGTCAGCCGCTTCGGGCTTTGCTTTGCACCATCGAAGTGCAAAGTGTTCCTCCAAGATTGTCAGGGATCGCCTCCTGCGCTGACCCTTGGTGGGGATCAGCTAGAAGTCGTTCAGAAATTCAATTACCTGGGAAGTTGTATCAGCGCCCTTGGGATCGAAGACGAGATCACAAACCGTATAGCGAAAACTCGGAGTGCTTTTGCTAACCTTCGCCACCTATGGCGACGGCGCGACATCACTCTCGCCCTGAAGGGTAGAGTGTACAATGCAGCGGTACGTTCGACCTTACTGTACGGTTGCGAAACCTGGCCCCTAAGGTCGGCGGACTTGAAGAGGCTAGCTACGTTCGACCATCGGTGCCTTCGCAGTTTGGCTCACATCTGGTGGGAACACCGCGTGAGCAACGAGCGTGTTCGACGCATTGTTTACGGCCCAGGAAAAGGATCTGAATCGCTCAGCATCGTTATTTCCCGCACCAGGCTCCGATGGCTCAGCCACGTGTTGCGCATGCCAGCCCACCGACTCCCGCGACGTGCGTTGTTTGCTCACCGGGGATGTGGGTGGAAGAGGAGAGGTGGCCAAGCGATGACTTGGTCCAGAGAAATGAAGGCCCTCACTTCGGAGCTAGCTTCGGTTGGAGCTTCACGGATTCCTGGTTGGGGTCCAAAAGACAGTGAACACGTTTGGCTGGATACACTTGTTGACATGGCAAGGAGCCGACCTCAATGGCGTTACTGCTGTGAGTTTCTTTGTCCCTCCCCATCCCTTTTAGTCTCCCCCTCCATCTACGATCTCATTTCCTAGGGTAAAACATAATAATAAAAAAATTTTCGTTTTTTCTAGTAGCTGGCTGGAAGCTTACCGGAACGATGCCTATCCGTTGCTGGTAGCTCAGCTAGCATGCAACTGTTGTATCCATTTTTCCTTTGTGTATTGTATTATAGGTATGTAGGTATTTCTTTCATGTATTGCGGCACAATAGCAGAGGTGTTTTCCCACCTTTAGCTGATGTGTATAATGATGAATGATGATGAATGAGGAATTGCACATGACAGCCGACAAGGCCTCAACAGTCTGATTCAATGACTGGAATGTGCAATCCTCAATACGTCTAATTTACAGCTCACATAAAGTACGCCTTCGCATTGACGACCAACGGAGCGATCAGTACTAAGCAGTGCGCAGCCAGTAAACATACCTCATCGTCCGTGATATCCGGAGAGAACCCCGTTTTCGTGAAAGCAAGTATGTCGGGATGAGGTTTGTCTACAAGTAGACCCAAGTCGTGCACTTTGTTCCTTAGGCTACGCACGTTGCTAAATACTACCACAAGAAAGTCAGGACGACCATCAGGATGAGTTCTGATACGGTGGAAAATAATTTCCGGCTGACCATCTAAAAAGCCATCAGACGGAATCCTTACACACTAGCCGCCCGTCTAGTTTTGAGGACTTTGATAGCCTCCTTCAACTTCAATCTACCTGCCAGTGGAAGGTCTAGCTAAACGCTGACACCACTTTCTTTAGGATCTAATGCAAACCGCAGTAATGATTTGCGTTCCTCCGGGGTAGAAAGGACCACGCGAAGTAGTCGGTGTCGCGGATTTGCCGTACCGACAGGGACGGTCCCAAATCTGGTCAGCTTTCTAACAGTGACACTACGGAAGCAGGTGGAAGCAGCTTGGTGACACAATTTGAGTCACTTGATGTCATCCAAAATGCGTTCGCTTGTGAGAGAAGATGCAGATTCAGTCAGTTTACGGATTAACGGCAATATAAAAATGACAACCAATACGGTCCCGCAACGTCATCTTTTCTGCTTCTTTCTCCCTTTTGCGTGTGACCGAAAATATGCCGACTGGTCGGCTGTGTGGAGACCTTAGGATTTCTTCGTACGACTATGGTGAAATTCAAAAAGATTTTGCACAGCACACGACAATCATACGGGGAGAAGCACCAAATCGCAACACAAGTGAGACCGAAAAGGTAGTAGTCACTCACGTTATTCACAAGGACCCCGTTTTCTGGAGTCTGCTTTGTTTTCAGATAGTTGCCTAGCATCTTCGCAACAATTTCACTCATAACATGCGGATCTGTAGTCAAGTGAACTCCACCTTTGAAACCATCACGAAAAACACCCTTCCCGCGACCACCGGCCAAAATTTGCGCCTTGATAACGAATTCTCTAACCTTAATGCATGATAATAAAAAACAATAATCCTGACTTTAAACTGGTTCTTGATAGTTTCAATGTCTGCAGGCTTTCGGACCATCATGAAGCGCTGGACATTTATGTCAAAGTCTGACATCAACTTCTTGCACTGGTATTCTTGAAGATTTAACCATCTTTTGGATACAGCGACGATCTCCGATAACCTGCTGTGTACAGGTCGACAGCGAGTGGACCACATGGTCTATATGCGGATCGTCGGATCCGCCAAATGCGAATCAATGATCTTACGGCAGCGTGATTGTGGTACACACCGTTGTATTGATAAATGCAAACGTTTCGCCTTCCGACGCATGTGTATGATTATTATTATGTTAACATCAGTGTTAAAATGTTAAGTGGTGGATTGGAAACCAATATACTTAATGGTTTAAATGCGCTACGTTGGTTAACAACCTTCCCGCTTCTAGAGATTGCAACCATGGTGGATGACACTTGCGCATTCCGACGTATATTTAGGGGTCCGTATCTGGACTTCTCATCGCTGAATGGAGATTCGAAAGCTTTTCAGATTGAAACTATGACATCGTTTATTCGTCGGAGCGTGGAAACTGCGAAAGCATACCAAAGGGAGACTGCAAGGTTGCTACCGGACAGATGCCCGTACCGATATATTTTGTTTGTGCGCGTGCATAGCAAGCGCTCCAAGGTTGCTGGAAAGCGGTAGGTGTTGTGTATCTGCCTGGTAAATCATTATACCCGGCCCCGGTGTTACGGTTGTCCTGCTCCTTTCTCAGCGGTTTTCGAGGGGGAATGTTACGAGATTGGAAATGCAGGATTTCGACAATCGCACATTTTCCATGTGGGGAAGCCGGCTGTATGTCAAAATCGGCGGTTAACAGCGGATCAGGAAAGCATGGTGCTTAACTTAATGGAGACATTTCGTCGGACGCAGGAGGTGTGTGTATTGTGCGTCTGCAACATCACATTCGTTGAACAAACGCGATTCATTTGACATACGACAGCGTCATCGTACCGCTTGTGTCACCGAAAAAGGAGGAGGTTACACAGCTATTGCGCAGAAACGGTCAGCTTAAAATTAATCAAGAGGTTAATGATAGTCGGCATCTGTTCTTCGTCCTCTTGCGTATGTTGGAGTTGGGGGGCCAATACGGGGAGGCAGCTTTGGCGAACTCCATTTATCAGATCAATCACGGCGGTTACATCCGATGGCTTGGTATGTATGTGGACGTCAGCGGCCTTGGTATGAGCTCTTTTATGCTCATTTGCCCGATGAGACGGAGGCTACTTAACAAGAGGCGATGAGAAGTATGGTGGAGTTGACCCCCGGGGTTGCCGGTGCGCGAACGTTGGCCATGGACAAGCGTGCGGCGCAGGCGCATGCTTTTCGCAATGAGTATCCCACTGCCAACATTGTTTTCTGCCGGGTGCACATTATGCGGGACATGCAGCGACGTTGTTCTCAAATTCCCTTCAAGGAGGCTAAAACGGCTCAGCTCAACATGTTGCCATCGTTGTTATATACGCACGATTGCACCCATTACCATCGGCTTATGGAGGGTATATCGGTGCGTGGCGTGGAATGCTTTCAGTATCTCCGTCGCACGTGGATACCATGGCGGCTTAGCTGGGCAACGGAATTTGAAGGGCCATGTGGTGTTATTTGGGTACGACAGCACCAATCAAGAATGAGAATAAGCATTTGAAGGAAACTTTTAGTGAGCGGTCCAATCTACGTCACCTGTTTCAAGTGATAGTGCAGCGTTGCAGGGGCATTTTTAGCGGAGCAGGAAACCGTGCTTTCTAGAGGTAAGCTTGGTATGTGCGATTTCGCGCAGCATGTAAGCAGTGGGCTGATGTTTTTGAAGAAGGCGTCGTCAAAAGCCCGGCAGTAGTTCGTGCAGCACAGCCTTAGAGTACGCATTCAAGTGTGAATCCGGCCGGGCGGGTATTGCCTAGTGGTTGACGAACGCCTGGATTTGCAGCGTGTGGTCATAGAGAATGGCAGCGCTTGCGGATGGCGATTTAGTCGTCCATGGCGCATTCCTTGTGCGCACATTGTGCAAGTGACTAGCCTACACACCTACGACGAGGCGGAAGTGCTTCGTGGTTGCCGTTGTGTGCTGCCAGCGGAAAGTGTAACGGTGCCGGCCCTTTCGGAGGACAGTGAGGGAACGGTGACGGTCGTGCAGACGCGATCCCGTTGTGGTGCAGTCATTGACCGCGCCGGAAAATTTCGCATCACTCATGATAGATTTGGTAACTTGGAGGCGCATTTGTTGAATATAGGCACGGAGGAGTTCCACCGTACATTGGGTATTATGGCAAGCATTCGTGAGCTGCTGGCTAGTCATATTAATGTGTAAGCGTTCGCCCGATCATCCAATGTGGAACAATTGCAACGGTTATCGTGAAATGACCTGCCCATATTCCAACGAGTGGACGCGTCATCCTCCGATGCTGCTGCCCGGGTTGGGTTCAGCAACGTTTCCTCGTCCAGCAGGAATGCACCGGAAACGGAGGTTAACCAAGAGGTCCCGTTGGGGGGCAGGGGCTTGGGTTTTGCAGGTATTGACAATGACCGCAGGCGTCACAAACGGAAAGCGCTTTTGGTAGCCCGTGTGATGGAGATAGCGGGTACCGGCATGGTGCCATTGAAATCGAAATTCCGTACCTTGAAAACGACAACTTCAAATCGTCACAGAAAAAATACATGGCATACAATGAGGGCAACCGCTGGTGAAGTCGCGGACAGCTCGGTTGGCCCTCCCTGTCAGCAGGAGGTTGACGAGTCACGGAGCTCCGAGCAAGTGGATTGGATAAGATGTGATGGCTGCGCCCGATGGTTTCATCAACGATTTGCGATATGCCTTGGTGTGCCGGCGCACACATGTAGGTACTGCCGCGAGTAAGTTACATGTTACGTACCTTACATAACCTTTTCTTGGGGTTGCAGACGACGGTAAATTGATTGTTGCTTCTTAAAGTTATCCCTTAAGGTTTCCCTTACATTCGGTAAGGGTGCATGTTATCCATTTGCTTCGAAGGACCGCTATATTGCTTGAAAAGATATTATGCATCGTCACGTTACCTCCGTTCTACTTCGTAAGTTCCCGTGGTTTCCCCTTAAAGCGCAGAGTGCAGTAAGCTTTAAGCATCAGGATGTATACCACAGCCAAGCAAAGTGCGCATAGATACTGACGTCAACTCACTCATTTTACGGGTCACAGCTGCCTTCTTGAACCTGTGGCAGGTTGGGCGACTGAAGTGAGCGATGGGCTATGTGAAAGTCCGTGTATAATAGGCCCCAGTGAGGGCTTTCATGCAGTATGGTAGAGAGACTTTGCGCAATGTTTATGCTATGTGCTTTGGGGAACAGCTTGACGGTGTTAACTTTTGGTACTTGTAGCACTCTCTTTCAATGTGTGTTGTAGTATTCACTGAATATCTGTGTCAATGAGTCCTCCTCTCCTTCGCTCAAGTGAAGTACCGCCGTACGCCGCAGCGAAAAATGCTTACAGGTTGTGGATGAAGATCCCGTAGTCATGCAGGCCGAATGATTAAAGTTGTATTACCATGGACCTACAAGAATTTTAGCCGTCATCCGTAGGCCATATCTTCGGCCAGCGATAGCATCCTGTGCGATTGCCTTCAGTGCAGTCGTTGTCCAGCAAGGATTGTTTACCTGATACCGCTGCTCCGCAATTGCACACATTCGCGACTAGGTGGTTGCTGCTGTGGAGGAACTCACAGGGCGAGAGAACTGTAAAAGTGTTCGGCATGCTGTGCCTGAAGCCCCACCCGTGCAATGGTTAAGGCTGTAGTTCAGGTCCACGGCTAAGCAAAGACCTCCCTAATGGAACGTAAGCGGAAGGAAATGTCCCGACTAGTTACTGCGATTTGGTTATATTGCCACTTCACAAGAAGGGCAGTCGTGCCGGGCGTGGGCGCCAAACCTAGTAACCTAGTAAAGGCATGCTACCAGACCTAAGCCTTGCATAGAATGTTGAAAACCTTTTCTGCTGCGGATGCACCTAAGCGTAGCATTAGAATTGTCCAAAATCGTCTAAATGCCGGCTTTAAATGAACCTTTATGTGTCTTCCTAGATGTCGGTTGCCAGCGGGCCCTAATAGAAGCTTTTTCATTAAGTCTGAGCGCTAGTTACTATACTCAGCAGTTTCCAAACACTATCAGTAGTTAAACCGCAAAATAAAAAAATAATCTTTATTATTGTTGACAAAGAGCGCACTTTAACAGTTCTAGGCCCAAGAATCAGACATTTTGCTCTCCACTTACTCTATCTTGACCCCATATACTTAGCTTTATCTGGTATACATGTGCCTTTCGCTATTGGCAACACTAGTAGACAGGCATAATGAAAATCAGATCCTCTTCTTTAACTGCTTTTGCTCGTAAAACACTCGCATTTTCAGATTTCATTTCACTGGCACGAAAGCTAACCAATGACAGAGAGGCCCCTGTCACACTGGCTGGCTGGAGCACCAGAAACTTTCCATCACCACTTTTCTTATCTTGGCCGCCCGTGTATCATTTATCTTTTAGCTGGCTCCAAAGCCTACCATGCGTTATGCGTAATGGTGGGTGAACGACCAGCTCCCACTGGTTTTTGTTACTATTCTACTCCTGATTAACCTTATCGCTCTTTGCCTAGGGTGCTAGAACAGCTCTTGCCAGGAAAATCACAAAAGAAATAGTCGATGTGACATTAGAGTGCCAGTTAACATTGCCATCTGGATGAACACCGCCGGCACTATCTTCGGAACTTAAAAATGGAGAGAAATAAATCGAAATTCATCAAAGAGCTGCACAATAGTGTGCATCGACACATGAGGCATAACAATACCTCAAGTATAAGCAAGCTCAACCACCAGAAGTAGAGTTGTTAAAGCCCAACCAATGTAGACCAAAACGGATTTCACGCCCAAATGCAATTAACTAAATTTTACTAAATTTTCCCATGCTCATTTCTTTATTATTAGTGACAGGCTCCTATAGCTCACTGATGTTAGAGACAGAGCCACATTAATATAGAAAATCGGCTCTAAGGGATAAATCTTGTGATGTTTAGCTAAGTAATGTGTGTATTTTGCAGGCCGAAATCTGTCAACGGATCTGAAAGATCCCCTGAGTTACTCAGGTAGATCTGGCTCATGCAACCTTGCTGTAAGCTTTAGAAAAACTTAGAGGCTTAAAAAATGCTAAACTCTATTTTACTGGTTGTTTATGTGGCTCAGTATCCCCTGAAAATGGTATGCGGTGGCCTTC